CACATAAAGTTAGTAAGCACAAGATAAAATTGGAGGCCAAAATATCTTTCACAGTATTGCTTTCAAAAGTATTGTGTACTAAATGTTAAATTTTTTCCAAATTTCCAAAGAATTTGTAGAAATCACTATATATTAGTAACCATATTCTATCCATCTTACAAAAGTAAATTATTCAGCAATTTTGAAACTAAAATACTATATTTTACTAAGTGTTTATTGCTCTGTATAGTTCAAAAAAATGTTTCTGTTGCAATATTATTTTTAGAAGAGTGCCTCAAATAAATTGTGAGAATGGCAAGATTGTTTGAGTCAGTTGTACTCTATTATTCCAAGATTACATATAATATTTTGTATTTCACTTATAGGCATAATTGTTTGAAGAGTAAGACATCTGTAATTTAATAGGTGTTGATGGAAATTGCAACTATTCTCCGAATATTATGATTCATTTATAAATTAGTCTACCAAACATTATTCTATACATTGCTGCCTAGTATCATCTTGCATCTGTAATATATAGAAATGCAAGTCATCATACAGATTAGAAGAGTATATTTCACTTCTGTATATGTTACAGTAAATGAAACTGGATAATGATCTACATTTTGCAAAATAAGTTCTCAAATTAATGCTACATAGTGTAATCTTTTGAAATTATAGATATAGTGTTATTATGAAAGGTGCTACCTTCTTAAATTATCCTTTGGATGTGACATAAAATGTAATTAAAGATTTCTGCTAAATTATGGATTATGTGTAATTAATTTTGTCCGATAATGTCAAGAAAATAAATTTATTTAATATTAAATTACTGTCAATAAATCATTAAGCATTCAACAAATGCCTATCTGTAATATGAAATTAATCATTTACCAGGTTAGTAATAAATTTAACTAGCTAAAGCATATATAATCAATTATTTGTAATTTGATGATTCTGCAGATACCTTTTAATTATGTTTGGAGTATTAGAATTGAATGATGATGATGATATTATTATTCTAATTTTTCAGTTGTGATATAGTTTTTGAAAATTGTTATAAATCTATTTAAGAATAAAAAGTATCTTTAATTTTTAGAGTATGAAGTCAGATTCTTGTGGTTTTTCATTAATTATTATGGGTCATTTAAAAATCAGGTTCAATTTTTATTGGATGATTTCAACATCAATTTTATTTATCAGTTGCATCTTATATTTTAGATATTATATCTGAGCTTTATATTGAATAATTTGTTCTGAAGATATTTTTCTGTATATGCTGCTTGAGTTTAATCAGCCTAGTACAGTTGATATTCACTATGTTGGTTGTATTATGTTTAATTTGATTTATTCTAATTTTCTTAAAAATTGAAAGAATTGTTAAGAATCAGCATTATATTTATAAATTTTTACATAAATAACATTAAAAGATGTAGGCTTTGAAATTTTGTATAAATTCAACTCTCCTTGAAAGTATTTATAATTTGTATACAAAATGAATATTTGTTTATAATTTATTATTAAAATGAAATTGTACAAATTTTAAATTCTCTTAGTTTGAAGTTATTAATGCATAAAGCAATCTTTAATAGAGCGATTTGTAAAATTTATAATGAGGATTGTTAGGACAGGAAATATTTTTTTGAATTTGTATAAAAATATCATTAATTATGGTATATTATTATAAGAGTTTATGAAGAAGTTAATGTATAATAATGCTTACTCAATGTTGAATTGGTTTTTGTGCTGTAAATGTAGTGCATTGGCAAACTTTTTAGCATCATTTCATTTCTGTGCTTGACGATATTTATTGATTAAATTAACAGAAATAATATTCTGAAATTCTATGCATTTTTCCTCTTTAGTTTTTCACATAACTTTATTTTTTAAAATAGATTTATTTGACTTCATCCTAAATTTAAGATACACTGCATGTTTTAAAAAATAGTGATATAAAATACACTAAAGATACGAGTTTTTTGCATCTAAAGATTTCAGTTACTATTTAAAACTAAGAATAATTGCTGTACATTTAAAAAAATATTTCATTTAAAACAGTGAATGATTCATTAAATTAAATATAAATTTTCGTCTACAAGTACGTATCTTCTAATATCAGGACTTATTATACTGGCTTTACATATAATACTAGAGTTTCACAGAAAACAATTTTTTATTTTATTTAATATACCTATTATTAAGGTATATTAAATAAAATAAAAAATTGTTTTCTGTGAAACTCTGTAGTATTATATGTAAAGCCAGTATAATAAGTCCTGATATTAGAAGATACGTACTTGTAGACGAAAATTTATATTTTAGTAAGAAAAGGACATTGAGGCATTTTAATTAATTAGATTCATTAAATTCATATTCAGAAAAATTTCTGATACTAAGTGTAATATGATTTATATGATGACTAATTATTTTTCCATATGTCATAAATCTTTTGATACTGAATTCTCACTAAGAAATACTCAAACAAGAAAGTATCTCAATATTTTATATTATTTTTTGATGTCAAATTATCTTGGTTTTATCTTATATTATTGTTGTTTGAATGTAGTGTATAATAATATAAAATTTATGGAATTATTTTACTTTCCATGTATTGATTTTTTTTAAATCTTTATTATTTAATGTGTCATTTTAGAGAATGATTGGATCATTTCAGAATTTTTTTAAAAATTTTGATTTATGTTTAGTGTAAATTAGATATTATTATAAGACCAGCTTTTTATGGTTGTAAGATAATATATACCGTATACTAAAACTACCAAAAGAATCCTTCCTGAAACATGCTACAAACATAATTGAAGATTTATTAATCTCTCATAAATTTTGTGAATTCTCATAAAAATCAAAATACTGTAGCAGTAATTATATCAGGATGTTTAAGCTTCAAGATTATAAATCAAAGGTTCTAAAATTCTGAATAAATTACAAGAACAAGAAGTATACAGTTATACAGGGTAAGTAGTTATAATAAACCAAAAGAAAAAAAAAGCCTGATTATCAGGAGAGTGGGAACTATGTTTGTTTAAAACTTTAACTTATTTATATAACCATTTCCCAGAATGATGTGAACTTTCTGCTTCCATTGATTAAATTCTGGTGGTTTAGTTGTTGATGAAATTTCATTCATAGAAATTCATTTAATCAGGAACTCTACAGATTTTCTGTCTATTGTTATAGTGATGATAAAGAAATGGTTATCATTATGGAAATAAATCTTATAAAATTTAAACTGAAATAGATTGTTTGATAATAGCTATGAAAACGATTTCTTTAACTTTAATTTTATAAAGAGACGTTTATCAAAAATAATAATAATCAATTGTCTACTATGTTTTTTTTAATTCAAAGGCAAAATATTTTCAGGGTTCCTTAATCATTTCATTATTCCAAGCACTTCAAAAAATATAATAAATCAAATTAACACAATATATTTGTCAGATTTCAGATATAAAAAGACATCTATAGTCAAAAGATATTTTTCATAGATTAGTCCATTAATTTGTAAGCTGTTAATAAGTAGAATGGATGACAAATTTTACATTTTCTTAACATTTATTTTTGATTTAGTAATCATATTAATAATAATGAGTGAAATTGTTTTCCCCTCTCTTTGTAAGTATTTTCACACATTATTCTTTGATATGATGATTCATTAAGTGTTATAGAGTCACTATCAAATTTTGTTTGAAATTCAGTAAATGATTAAGAAACTTTTATTATTATTATTCAAGAAATTTATAGACAAGATTATTTAAATCTTGTTATTCTATTTAAATAGAATAATTGTTTTTAAATGGGAAAATATTTAAAAAATAAAACAGCTAAAACCATGGATTTCTCACTTTCAACTATTATTAGTTCTTTTGATCAAAATATTAATTTACAATATGGAATAACTAAACAAAAATACACTATGGATCTCAGAACAACCAAGAAAAGACCAAAACTGAAGATAAAATAACAATTGTTTCTGTGGAGTACTGTTAATTTCATATCAGCAAAACAAAAATAAACAAACTTTTTAAAATCTTAATAATGCATTATTCATGCAGCTTATATATAGTCCAGATCTTGTTTTCCGTATATATTACAGTATACAAAATTGATATTACAGTATACAAAATATTACAGTATATATACAGTACATTATACTTGATATTACAGTATACAAAATAAGTAAATAAATTGTATAATTCTTTAGAGTTTAATTAATATGTAGAATTTGGTCTGTGAAAGTTTAAAGTTTGAATAATTAAGATTTTTTAAAAAGAATTTTGTATCTATTTGATACATAGAGATTTTGATTCTGTTATGTATGCATTTGATACATATCATGACTTATTCCTACTTTGTTCTCTTTCTGAAATAGTGTGAATGTTCTCATAAATTTTTAAATTATTGTATTTCAAGAACCCTGAGAATTTAACATTATTTAAATGTATTTAAAAAATTGTTTTATGTTGTTTATAAATTTTGTCATATTTAAATAGTAATTATCTTGCTAAATGTAATTTAAGTGGTTTAAAAAAAAATAACAACTTATTTTTAGTAATAAAAAATTATTATTATTTATTAATGTAGTATTGCACTTGTATATTAACTGCTATAATATTTTTATTGTCTTTTTAAGTAACTAATAAGTTCTGTTATTTTTAATTTTATTTTATTTTTAATATATGTAGTTTTTAATTTATCACAAATATCAGTGAATGGTGTTTGGGCTTGTCAGTAACATTTTTGCACCTGTTTGCATTAAAAAAAATTGGTTTGTATATTGGCATGCTTGTTGATAAGTTTAGTTTTTTAATTATATTTTAAATATTTTTTCTTATTCTTATTATTCTTATTATTACAAATACTTTTTTTTTCTGTTATTTTGAAGCTGCAAATTACAAGATACTCATATCACTTACTCACAATCAACTAACTACACAATTAGATGTTTTTATATTTATCTAATTAGTGTGTTTGAAAGAAAAGTAATGAAATATTGAATATTAAAGGTGTACTTCATTAAGAAACATTCGTGATAATGAAGAGAAAGATTCTGCATTTCGTGGGATATGTAGCATGATCGGCGTAAATCCAGCTGGAGTGGTTCAAGATTTTATTTTTTTCTGTGATGCTGTTGCTTCTTGGGCAACTCCCAAACAAGACCTCAAACATATGTTTAATGAGGTAAAATAAAATTTAAGTTTAATAATAATTATGCAAAATTTTAAAAAAATTTTGTATTATAAATGTGTGTTGATAAAAAAATATTTCTGGAATTATAGATTCTTCATGGTTTTAAGAACCAAGTAGGTGAAGAAAATTGGAGACGGTTTTCAGATCAGTTTCCTGCCCCATTAAAAGAACGTCTTGGGGCCAATTATGGTGTCTGAATAAGTAAGATTCATCATGTGGTACATAAGTTTATGAATATAAACATCAATATATCTTTGAACTATAACTATATTTTAAAACTTTTTCAGGTACCATTTGCCAAAAGCTGGGAAAGCTAAATCACTGACCACACAATATTCAAATGAAAAAAGGGATAATTGGGGTAACTGCATTAGATGATTTAAGATCAAGAAATTGAGGAAGATTAAACCAATGGAATGTTATTTAGAATCCATTGTTCATATTGTTATAATTTTTGAAATAATTACGATAATATAAGATATTAGTCAAAGGTTTTTCTTGTGGGGAAAATTATGCTAAGAACATCACCTTTGATTTTTCTCTTCTATAATGAAATGTTGACTGCAACAGAATATATACTATTCACTTTGTGAACTTTTGAAATTGAAATGATCATTTTCCGTGGACTTTAACATTTCCAATTTTTCTTAACCAATTTTAAGCATTAAGTATATAATGTTCTAGTATTTTTATGGTATAACTTTAAATAGAATTTTCCAGTTGAACAAAAATTGCATTATGTGCTTGTCATGTATTTCAATGATGATGATGATAAAAAGAAAAAAGCTCTAGGATAAGTTTAGAAATAAGTTTAATCAGATTCTTAAAAATAGTTTTCATTTTCAAATTAGGTTTAAGATAGTTTATAAGATTGGTGTTGCTTGTTAGGAATTGTGTAAATTGTTAGTTGCTAGTGTTTAAAAATAAGAAACTCTATATTAATATAGAGTAATATGCAAGTTAACTTTTCTTAATATATGTTTGCTGTCTTAAATTACTTCAAATATGACTAATAGAACAACTTTGTTTGACTTGACAAAAACTTCTTTCAGTTTCTTCATTATTGCTCAACTTGACACAAGATTTGTTTATCTGATTAAGAGAGAAAATTTAGCTTTGTTTTTCTGTAATCTTGTAAAAATCACTTCAATTTAAAAAGTTAAGCTTGTGTCACCTTTTCGTGTTACCCCAATTTCATGTTAACACTTCAATATCTGTTAATAAGGTGTTGTGAAGTGCCTTATGTCCCTTTCTTGTCCCCCCACATATGTCAGGTTCCACACACAGGGGTGGGGGGAAGGGATGGTATTTAAAAATAATAATAATAATATAAAGACAGGTTTTTGTAAAGGATGCTGAATGCATTAAATCTTATGATGTAATTAATTTTTTGAAATTAAATAATAAATTTGTTGTAATTCAGAAAAACAGATTTAAAAAATTTGAAGAATATGGCTGCTCTAAGGTTATTTTATCACAGTAAATATAGGTGTTCATATAATATTTTATGAGGCAGCTGCAGAAATATAATGTACTTAAAATGTAAAAAAAGGGAAAAAATGTTCTAAAGAACAAGTTCCTGTGTAGCTCAGTCAAATGTGATGAGAATAATGTTTCATTACATCAAAGAAAATAATAGTGACAAAAAACTTTCAATTAAATGTGATAAAAAAGATATATTTCATGAGTACAATTGGGTGGGTGGGTGGGAAATCGTATGCATGTGTGTGTGTATGTGTGGCATGTATTCTTACTATGCATCCTCATGTCTATTTTTCTTTCACTAGCATCTCATGTTGCATTATTCATATATAATTCATACCACTTGAAAGTAATGCAGTTTTAAAATGTATAATACTGTTGGAAATCACTTTGTTGTAATATTCTTTATAGGTTCCTAAACTATGGCATTTTTGTAATGTAAACTTAAATCTCATTATTATTATTNATTATATATTTTTTTTTGCGAAGAAGTTGAAGGGAAATCTTTTTGAAATTGTCTTTATATTTACTGTTAACTTTTTAATCTTTTTCTAAATTCTTTAAACATTTCTGCTCAAGGCCACTGTTTGAGAGTGTGATTTAAACTTGTCACAACTATGAGCTAGTCATATTAAATATATATATATATATTATAAATATAATTATATGTAAACAATGTACTGTATATTTCCCTTCAACTTCAGATCTTAGTCAGTATTGTGTTTATACTTGATGGCAATAAAAAAATTTAGAGAGAGAGGGGGAGAAAAATAAATTAATTAAACAAATATCACTTTTTACAGAGGTTGAACCTCTGCTCTCACTTAAAAATTCGGGTGCAATCTGCAAATTCTGAATTAACTAATCTCTCTAATTTCAGTGGTCACAGCATATATGTATATATATTTTATATTCTCATATATATGTATGTATATATATATGCATGTATAAAGTACAATCATTCATTATCATTTTATACAACTTGGGAATGAGGCCTATAAAACTCTGGTTGTCAATAAATTGTCTTCCCTTTCCTGAAAAAATCAAAACATTTAACATTTTGAAAACTAAATTAATATAATTTCAAAGATTTTAAGCAGCTGGCTGCTTGAAACAGCCAAAATTTTCTTATTTTTTAAATTAAGGCCAACTGGATTTTGACTCTCTTTACCTCAATCCCAGTTGAATATGGTATATTGTTATGATTTTGACTACTGTGTAAATTTTTGAGTGATATATATATAGTTCAGATTTGTTCATTTCATACATTGCCAAAAAAATTTATTATTATTATTATCATCAACGTTGCATATCATTTGTGAAGAACAAGGTGTAAACAATGCCCAGCACATAGTAGTCAAAAGACATAATAATTTTCCAAGCTTTGTGCCATTGTTAGTGTAAATTGTCTATTATTGTATTTCACTATACTGTGCATATCTAAAAAATAAAAATATAAAAGATAAAAAAATACAAATGTGATCATGGTTGTGTAAATGTGTTGGGGGCCATAATTGTAAGATATGTTAGTTTAAATTGTGTATGTATCTAGGATTAAGACAATAGAATATAAGTTTGTCTCTAGAGATTCATTTTTTGTACATTTGAGGTACAAACTATATCTATATGTTAAGGGTTTGCTGTGTATGAATGCTGCATGACAATCTGCATGATTTAGACCAATAAAATTTATCAAGTGCAGTCTGTTAAAAAGCTGTGGTGGTGTAATTTTATTCAAATTATATTCCATTACAAAAAAATTCTACAAAATAATATATTGTAAAAATATAACAAGCAATAAATAAGTATAAATGTTATATAATTACTTGGTAGTTTTCAAATATTCATTAAGTGCACACTTTATATATTAAATTTTTTTTCTTAGAATAACATTAACTGGAAATTATAAAACCATGTTTTTATGCTCATGTGTTTTTGGGGTAAAGGAATTTGGAAATTAAATTTTCAGTAATAACTTATATGACATCATTCAAAAAAAATCATATTTTATTTCTTAATTTTTTCACATTTAATTATTTACTTCATTAATTTAATAGGAACCATTAAAATATTAGAAAAATTATTACAATGAAATTTCTTTACTTGCCAATTAATAATTGAAAAATTTTAGTCTGTTTATATAACTTGTATTTATACAGTAAAATTGTATTTAATTGTTTTCAAATTACATATACAAATAAGATTTTTTTATACATTTATCTAAAAATCTTCAAAAAACACACCATGATTAGAATTTTTTTTTCTTTATAAACTACCAGAGAAAGGCAAAGTGAAATAATGTTACCAAATAAACAAGTACAGATTATTAATATTTACATTTAATTAATTCTAGGAATATACAAAAAAAGATTCACGACATTTATATAACCCAGTTTTTATTGATTGGATGGAATGTCAGAATATTTTAAATTGACAATTTTAATGATGAGACAGTTTTGCAAATGAATGCTTTAATCAAGAGGACGGTCTGCTCTTTTATAATATATAAAATCAAAAAATGAATATAAATTCAAATATTGTGTAAATTTTTTTTTTTTTTCTTTGTGCTTGAAAGAAATAGTCTTTGTACATTTTAATTATTTAACCACCCTTTAATGCAACATTGATAAAATAATCAGCCATACAATCAGGATATCCTTTTTTGACAGAAGTTACATTATACCAGATTTCATTTCATCGACAAAAAACGTATAGTATAAGGCTAGAAGCCAGTGCTTCGTAATTTTAAGAAACTTTTATACAAAAGAATTGAAATGCAACCAAGATACAAAAAGTTATCTTGACTAGGCCATTCAGACTAGGAAGCATGCAGAGATTAATTGGAAAATTTTTGCCTGCATTTGAACATCAAAAAATTTTTCAAAGATTTGAAAGTCACACTTTTACTAACATCTTTAAACTAGTATTTAAATAGAGCTGATTTGATTCCCCGACGAGTTTCAAACTTGCCAGAATCATTCTCTTTTAAAGAGCACACAATTACCTGAGAAACTCCCATAAATTTAACATTAGTTATTATCAGCAGGGAGTACCAGTACTTAGTTTATAATTAAGTTCTGTGTTATATGATGGTAAACAACTTTTCACTTTCTCCCTATCCATTACCGCCATCAGTCCCATGACTTCTGAACTGTTTCGGCACTTGAGTAAGTCTGGAAAAACTACATTGTCTGCACTCGAAAGTCTTTGACTTTCTTCATTATTTGGAATGCAAATGTCATTCATAATTTGTATCACATCATTAGGAAGTTTGTCACTGGAAGAGCGTTGATGACTCCTGTGGTGTCGTTCGTGGCGATACCACTTTTGCATCTCAGGCGACTTACTAGAATAAGTTTTGCTATCACCATATATCTGTTGTGGAAGAGGAGAACGTGTATGGCGTTTCAGTGTGAGAGATTCTGTTAAATATGAATGTTGGTCGGGTCCATAGTTCAATAATGAATGCTGACTTAAATCCGATCGCTCACTACAACACCGTTCAAAATTTTGATGAACTTTACTGGCATAGAAACGATTTTCTGGTGTTTCCAGGTGATTTTCAATGGATTCGTAAATGTGATCGACATAAGGAGTACAAATATCCGAATATGGCTGATACGGAGAACTTCTGTACCATTTTTCTTGTGGCCAGTTTTGTAAAGTTGCAGTGTTGGAATTCGACACATAAACTTCAGCTTCGGAAGACTTGCTATACCTTTGCACCACTGGTTGTATATTATATGAAAACTTCTTCAATTCTTTAGCAACATTAGGAGTTAAATTATCTTTTTCAGCTTCCTGGCTGTTGGGCACTGTAGTATATGGGAGACCTGAAAGCATAAGAACATAAGTAATTTGTTAAAGATCGTACCTAAATAAGAATTGTTCTAATGTACAGTACCTGGTGTGGTGAATTTGAGCACTATAGAAGAATTTTCTTCTTTCGGTAAGCTCCAGGACTCCGGAGGTATCTTTAAGTGAAAAAAATAATGAGGTACTATTTAAAATTATTGAAGGATATATTAATGTAAAAATTAAATTTTTTAAGTATTTATTTTGATGATATTGATTTAAAATAATTATTTCTGAGTTTTAGTTATTAAAACCAATATTATACTAGTAGTATAAAGTTGCAACAATTCCTGTCAGAAGTCACCGTTGTAATCAATTATTCATTAATTAAGAAATCCTTGATATTTTCTATCCTAAAAATATTTCAAGATTGATCATACATTTTGTTATTTACAAAAATTAGTAATATTTAAAAAATTGTTAGAGTAGCAATTAAAAAAATGGGGCATTTTAGATAGATAGAATGGTGATAATTGAAGAATAGGATAAATAATAAGATGAAAAGAATAGTGCAATTCATTCAAAAGTCAAGAAAAAATTTATTTCATGCAAAAATTCATGCTTGCAATTTATTATTTGAATTTTCACATAACTTAAAGTTTTTAATTGTATAGTTTTAATTTTGATAACATTCCAGAGGGAACTTTTTACAAAAGTATATTTATTATATTAAAATATATATGTAATGTTTAATAAAAACTAAATTAGGAAAACATGCATTAGCAAAAACAAATGAAAATGCTATGAGTGCAGGCAATACCTGAAGGAATAGGGCAAACAGAGGAAGATATCAGAGGGTAGGGGATAGTACCCACACTATGTTGGCTTGGGCTGGAAACTGCAGGAACTGTTCCATTTGGCTGATGACTAGTCAAGGCATCTTCGGATTTTGGGCTGTAAACTTGTAATGATAACAGGCCTCTTTGGTGGAGAAATTTTCTTAATTCTTCTCTAACCTAAATTTTAGAGATATTAAATTTAATTGCATTTAAAAATCATGGTTAATATTCATTATGCAAACACAATTTTGTGTCAGTTTTTCCGTAATTCAATTTATTTAATATAGCAATGAATTACCTTTATACTTCCAAATGAATAGAAAACCAAAATGTATAGTCCTTGCAGAGTGTTGACCACCATAAAAATATATGCTAAGAAGATTGTCTCTCTATTTGCATATAATAAACCTGTTGTCCAAGTCAAAACCAAGAGACAGAACAGAATTATTGCCAGTCGGATCCAAGATCTGAAAATTATCTGCAAAATTTAAGTTTCTGAAAGCTAGGAAAGTGAAAATTATTGAATATTTTGACTTACCTTATGCTAGCAAGTTTTGCTTCTTCTTTACCTTTGACAGTAGTAGTTAAATTTGAATGCTGACACATTATAGAAATGGCTATTATTAAAAACACAGATCCTCCCTGTAAAGTACANAGTCAGCTGTAGAACATCGCCATCAAATTTTACACCTGAACAATGGGGCACACATTGACAACATTCCTTAACAAGAAGAAGGCTGTTTACTCATGTTTGTGTTGTTTCATATATTTTCCCGTAAAGCGGAAGTTTTGGAACTATTTTTTTTTTTTTTTTTTGCAAAATCCTTTTTCGCATTTTTTGCTAAGTTCGCGTGCAAATTTTGGTGGATCCTCCCTGTAAAGTACAAATTTTTAATAAACTTTTTATATAAAAATTTTTAAAATTTTTTGCTAAATTGTACTAACAAATAATATTCCAACAGCGGGACCAATAAAGCTGTAGGTGAAGTAATTATCTGCTCGAAGCCAACAATATTTTTCTGTTCCATAACTGTACGGATCTACCGTAGCAGATATGGCAACAATTATAATGGGCACACCGTAAGCAAGAAGATAATACCAGCATCCTCTGGACTTTTCTGGTTCTACCATTTCTGTCAGCATGATATAATATTGAAAACCTTCCAGGGAAGCCCAAGCAAAAGTGACTAACAAGAAGTAATGTAGAAGACCAGCAATAGTACTGCAGATAATATGGTATGTAGTCTGATCTATCCCTCCCAAAAATATTATTTCAGAAATTAATAAACAGAGGAAGAGGTTTCTGTGTATTATTATATTATCTCCAGTTAGATTCCTGAAAATAAAGAAAACAGAAATTATTATATACATTTTGGTCTTTGAATAATCATGATCTTTTACCTTAACAGGAAGAGTAAAAAGACTGTTATGAGCAGACAAAGAATGCAAATTGTACATCCAATAGTTATAATTATCTTCATCATGTCTTTATGTCCTTGATATTCCTAGAATTAAAAAAAAATCTAAGAAAAAATTTCAATAGAATATAAAAGAAAATGACAGTAAATTTTTACCATAATAGGTTTAACATCCATAATCACAGCAAAATTGGTTAAGTGATCACAGGCACAAATGGTATGAGTTCTGTTAAAGTGCTGTACCCAACAACCTTGACCTGACCATTCTCTGAAATATAAAAATTAAAATTTTATGTAGAATCAGATTTATTTGTAAACTTTAAAAGCAATAAATATAATTAAATTGTAGTTTGTTTATTTATTGATTTTTTTTAAACCTATTGTCTCTCACTTTTTTGATGTGTTCAATGAACAAAACTAAAGCAATTTACTCAGAAAATTGTATTTCTGCCAAATGTTTCTTTATAAATAGAAGTCAGACTCTACTGTTATTACATTTTCAACTGAAAGCTCTTAAAATTAATTTGAAAAGACATCTACTGAAGGATTAGAAGTCCATTGGATCCTCTCCAAATTGTCTATGTAATAATTTATCAGCAATATCAGGATTAAGAGCAGTGCTACCGAAGGATATAAAATGATTTTTTTTCTTAATCAATAATCTTGTTGAAATGCTTTTTTATTTAATAAACAGTGACGTATCATATCGCTCGTGGGTCAATTCTTATTGAATTTGACATATTAGATCATATTTGACAGTAAAAGTTAATAAAAAGTATTAAATATTTAAAATTTCTTTCGTGTTACAAGATTATTGTAAATGGTATATTTAAGATTCGTATGATTTGATGGAATATATGGANTGAATAATTCATTGATTATTAATTCCAACATATTAATATATAATTAAAAAGAAAAAAAGAAAAACAGTGACGTATCATATCGCTCGTGGGTCAATTCTTATTGAATTTGACATATTAGATCATATTTGACAGTAAAAGTTAGAATAAAAAGTATTAAATATTTGATTATAAAGTTTAAAACTTTACCTCTCATGAAAGTCCCAATAAACACAATAAGGATTGGTAACATTATCTTCCTGCAAAATAAATATGTAATTAGGAAGGAGTAAAATATTTGTAAAGGTATAAATTAAGTTCTAACCTGTAAATGTTTAAGGGTAATTATAACTGGCTGGGTTAATCTGATCATTCCATGTTTACCCACTGATGCAGCAATCACTCTAGAATTAACTATTCTAGTGATGTTTCTCGGACTCTCTTCTTCTGCAGACAGATCCCGCGAAAGAGAACGAGGATGGAAATTGAACTCTGGTTTTAAGAATTCACCAACTCTGCTGTATGCCATGAAAACTACTTTAGCCAGACCTAAATTAGCATTATTATTTGTGAGTCTTTATCTTATTTTAAACATTCATTCATTAATTGTAGTAATTAACTTACCATGTCTGGACATATCTGCCAGTGCTTGTGCTGGTAGAAGAAGTGAATCTTCCATTCTGATCCAAGCAGTGCTCGCATTGTCATCCTTAAATTCTTCTAAGATGGGAAATTGTACACTTTTCAAACTTCTTGTATTCAAAACTTGTACAGATAATACTGTTAGAAATAAGGTATATTTGAATTATATATTTCATCATAAGAAAAATAATCTTAACTTTTCAAATGTACTTACACACATTATTTTTTGCAATTGTAAACGAGTCATCCTGTCCAGATGCATCAGCTAGAAGAAGAGCACTCTCTTCCAACTCTCCCAGTAGAGAAGAAGTCACTTGTCTGCGGTCTGAAGAACTCAGCTCTTCCCAAGCATCAAGCTGATCATCTTCTAATAAATTACTGACCGTCTCTAGTAAAGACTGCAAGATACATATTATGTAATTACATATTTTCATAAGAATATGTATAATTTATGATGATGACAAACCTGTAACAATTCTCTTAGCACGTGATACCTATGCCACATATCTAGAAAGTTTTCCATGCTATTCACTGTCCTGGTTAAAGTCTGTTGGATCACATCGCTGACATCTTTCAAATCTTCACTGAAAACTGCTTTGTTGACTGTCATTAATGCAAGTTCTGTTGCTACACTTATGACAGATTCGCCTTCTTCCATCTTAAAAAGTTAGAAAGAAAGAAAAGTTCCATAAATTATCTAAATTTTAAAAGAAAAAAGAGTTTTTTTTACAGTAACAAATTACAAAAATAAACTTTATTTACCCTCCTCCTAAGGTTTTCCACCCAGAATGATTTGCATTCCTGCAAATCGGGAACATCAGAAGACCATCTGATAGGATCCATGCCGCAATGCCATTTAGCAAGCCCTATAAATATAAAGTTAGTTTTTATGAACTAACTTTAACTGTTCAAAATTGGTGTTAATTGCTTTCTTGTATTGTCCAATAAGCCGTTTGCTTATAGAACGGTTATAAAGTACACTACGTAGAAACAAATAACTTTTAAATTATTACAGTTTACGTTATAACTGTAGCAAAACATTTATATGGTAATCTTCCACACTTGTCTTTTTTTAGAAGTGCAGAATTTCTTTGAAAAATCCATTATACACACGTATTAGAAGTACAGTGTGGTCATAGAGATCCCCTATTTAGAGCATTCTGTGGCTGTGACTGTGACCAATAAACGGAATTGACACCAAAATTCGTTTACGAACTCGAACTTTGCGAAGAATGCAGAAAAGAATTCTGCAAAAAAATCTAGTTCAAAACTTCCTCTAGGGGTCACTTTGGAATATAGTTTATCATGGAAATGTTGCAACAGACTTAAAGGATCGTATCATACTGCACGTGTGAAGCATCACCTGAGAGCAATTGTAGTCAGCTGTAGAACATCGCCATCAAATTTTACACCTGAACAATGGGGCACACATTGACAACATTCCTTAACAAGAAGAAGGCTGTTTACTCATGTTTGTGTTGTTTCATATATTTTCCCGTAAAGCGGAAGTTTTGGAACTATTTTTTTTTTTTTTTTTTTAAAATTGTNGACTGAGCTATCTGCATAATCTACATAATACTGCATTGCAACTAACTCTTTATATGTCCAAATAATAATTTTTTTGATTAGTTCTGGTAGTCTTACCTCTTGCCATTTTTCAGACATTAATATGAACAGCTCTTGCATGTCTTGCATATAAAAGGTACTTGACTTTTATATGCAAGACACGTGACATAAGAAAAGCCACAAGAAACTCCATAAAATTCTCCAAAACTCCTTTATGAACAACTTCGTTATACATAGCTATGTATCCCAAACTAATTAAACTATAAGTAATTGTAAGTAAGTTATTGGAATAAACTTATTTATTAACAAAAATTATTTATAGTACTTGGTTTAATATGTATGCAAGAATTTTTAAGTTTACACAAAATTTTGAAAGTTTAAATAGTGAAAAAAGTTCATTGCAAGCAGGGTTGTATTATTAAATAAACTCTGTTATTGTTCTAGAGTAAATCATCATCTGCTACTAACTGTACTATGACATTTTAATAAAAATCTTAAAATAACAAATATGTATCTGTATATTCAAATTGTGTAATTTTTTATTTTTAAGACAAATTATATTCAGATATCATTTCAGACTTTTTCATTATATTTGCAATATAGATTCAAAAAGATTTATAACATTATAAAAAATAAAAAAGCTGGTCTTTATTCATGAATTCCTTTTAAAGTTTGTGTACTGAATTTATTAAAATGAACAAATATTCAAAACCTTTAAAATGTTTTGTGAATTAATATAAGAAAAACAGAATAGGGATTAATAAATGCATACCTTGATTAATATCACGCACATAAAAATTATGATTTTTCTTCTGTTTCATTTGTGCAAATACTAAATAAAAATAAAAGTTACAAAGAATTACAATTTATTTAAAATATACATAAATAGTGTTAATTACAAACTTACATGAGGATTTATGTTCATACATATCTAAATCAGATAATGTAATGGCTAAAATTTTGCAAAAATTTGCTAACTGTACATTTTCAAATCCAGAAATTAATTCAGATATTTCTTCTATAAAAAAACAAAAAGCAAATATTAATAACGATTTTTATTTTTATAAATATGCCTTTATAAAAAAATTGTGATTTTAGTTTTCTCATAATACACACACTTCTAGTAAATTCAAATTATTAAAAACCTTCATAAAACTAACAACTGAATGTTTACTGAATAAAGTTTTTTAAAAACACTTCATATTACCAATAAAATATTTTAATTTATATACAGTAAGGTCTCATTTTATATGGAATCCATATACATGATTTTACATGATCCATATACATTTTCACAGATGTTAAACAGTTAGATTATAACTCTTGGATGAACAGGGTAATTTCTGACTATTAATGTGCATACTATATTTTTATTATAAAATTCAATATATATATATATATAATTTTTTATTTTTATTTATACCTTACCTTTGGTTAAAGTATCTGTAGTGGCCACAGAAGTATTGGTATTAGCTATAGATTGCTCCAGATAAGGACTCGTAACAGCCTCTAACGTCACGGAAGATGAAAGAGGAGAACTCGAAGGATAAATCATGGTGGAAGTTGGAGTGGCACTCTCCGTTCTTTCGATCGTTGTTTCGTTGGTGTTGTTACCCATATTTAACAACGAATTTAATTTTCCCGGCGTTGTTCCCGAACCTGTAACAATTTTATTTAATTATAAAACTCGCTTCTGATTAAAATCAATTACTTACATTAACACCCGTTAAGAAAGTTCCATCGTACTTTAAGTGCGGGATTAAAATTTTGTTTTAAAAGATCCTAACCTGAAACGCAATGATATTGCACTTCTAAATACTTAAGCGTGCCGGGGCATGGATCTCCAAACATATTACTAGATACGACCACACTGCAACTAGGCTTTAGACTGCACCTGCAGAAATTATCATCAATTATCTAAATTCAACGTTTCGGTTAATGGCGTACCTTTTACTACTACTACTACTACTTACCTGTCTTGCATTATCAGAAAGGACCTGTATGACATGCAATTTACACTCCAGTCCAAATTACCGTGATCGTTACATATGCTTATGCTAAATCTTCCATAATTGGCCCGAACTAATTTTATAAGTCCGCCATTTTCGCATCCTACCCTAAGTTCACGCTCTTCACAAGCGTATGTGGTGATATAATTAAGACGTTCTGAAAAAACAGATAAAAATATATTTATAATACATAAATAACCCTAATACGTCTTATTTTATTTATTTATTTATTTATATATTTTTTATTTTGCCTTTCGATTTTTAAATGATGAAATATTTTACCTAACAATGGCGGCCTCAAGGAGAAGGATGAAAGGGACACTGGAAAAATAACAAAGAAAAAAACACAACTGAATTTTAAAAAATAAAAAATAATAAAAAGAGTAAAAAAGAGATTTTTTTTAAGAAAAATAAATAAATTTTTTGCATCATGCTAAAAAGAAATTAAATATAAATAGTCTTTCTTCATAAATAATATCAAGATATTAAGAAGTTTAAAGAGAAAAAGGAAAAAATAAATTTTATTAATTACATTTTTTTTTCAATTTTTAAAAGATAATTATAATTATTTTGTTAAATTATAAATAATTTTTTTATTGTTATTAATTTATTTTTAAATTTAAATCTATTCTATACTAATTAAGTAAGTCGCATCATTAATGAGAACGTCGGCTTCGTTTACGCATTATAACAATAAAAATAACGTTATAATTTCCGAGACAAAAGTCTTTGTGTATATATATAAAATATAAGAATAAAAACATATTTAGAATAAAGAAGGAATATAAAAGAACAATTAACATTAATGAAAAGAGAATAAATTTAGAAGAAGACACCTGCGGCTCCGGATAATGATAACATCGAGAAGATTAGCGAAACAAATGAATCGACCATTCGTGTTAATGTTATCTCGTTTCAAAAATTCCCTCTTAATTTTTAATATTTTTCTACATCGAATGTAATATTCTACCGAATTTAATTAAGCATACTTTAAACAACAAGTCATTAATAAATGTAAGCATCGAAACGGGATTTTTTAAATATATATATATATACGTGTATATATGTTTGTATGTATACAACTGTCTCGGAGGCATGTCGCTGTCGTCGTTTCTCTTGAGAAATATTAATTTTTAAATGTGGAAATGATATTTTTATTTCTGCTTTTGACAAACGACTAGAAAGGATTTACGCAATTTCCCAGACGATGACAGTTTTCGGGTCTTTATTGGTCACTTCCTGTGTCAAATAGGAGGTCATCTAACAGTAAATGGACTCGGTGACGGCCCATTGAACTAATGACAATTTTCACACAATTATATACAAATTCCTCATCCGTGAAATAGTGCATTTTATGCTCTTGCAGTTTGGATTATTAATAATTTAATACGCCGAAACGGAGGCCATTTTTTTATTTTATTTTGTTTTTTAAACAAAGTTTTTCTTCGATTGACCTACTTACTAGTATACTTAATTATATATATTTTTAAACATTGTATAAAATTATTATAAATTAATAATAAATTCCGAAACTTATAATTAGAGAATATAAATATTCAATATTTTTAAAATGTTTCCATGCGCTTCCGCCCTCTAGTGTTAAGTGTCGGAACTAAATCGCGTCGTCTGTTTAAATGAACGATTTGTTTGTCATTTTAAATTAGAATCTTCCTGACATTCTCATAAATATTAATAAAGCGGAAAATAAATTGAGTCTATATTCATTTTTACATATTATAAAAGTGAATTAGCTAAAGATATTCGAAAGTATTAATTAAAAGTATTATTACGTCACACCGCGAATTTATTCACTTGATTAGAATAATTTGCATTGTCATTTCGATATTTCTTTCTCGTAAAAATAATATTAAATCACTTTAAATTTATACCACAACAACAAAACAAAAAAAATCTACGTCACAAACGAACTATTGTTAATTAAAATTCAAATATTTAAAATACGTCAATAACCACGTGATCGAAATTAACCAATTAAACAACTTTGATCTGTTGTTTATCTGTTTACGTGTGGTAAATGAGCGAAGTTTGTAATTTGTTAGAGTTCATACAAATGAAAGATGGCTATAAGTTCAGTCAGGTGATCAACTATCTGGAAAGAACGTAAGAGAAAGAGCATCCATCGTCAAATTATCTTCTATCAGAGAAACCATTTATTTCATCCAACAGCTGTTGCATGCTTCTGTTCAAAAATACAGTAAAAACAAACGTAGAATATATTCAATTTTTAGTATCAGATTTACAGAAAGAATATGTTAATAATAATACAAATATATATATATATATATTTCTGTATTGTTTTAAATATGCTTTTTTTACATTAGAAAAATCACTTTTGGCACTTACATTCCTTGTTTGTTGATCAGAAATGTGAAGAGAAAACGTTATAAATCTTTCTTCCTCATTATCTGGTTTTATCTTATGATTTATAACCAGAATTCTTGATAAGAGAAAGCTATTATAACAGTTAAGATTTATGGCTAATACTATTGACTGTTATCTACGATGTTGGAGAATTCGAAAATGTTGGATTATGAATTTTTATAGAAAAAAAATTGGATCAGAAAAATATATATATTAATCTCTGTTACCCTCTTACAACGCTTCGTTACATGGAGGTGAGTCAAGTGGGGTGAGAGAGGTTGGCACAAGCGCACCAAATGTATTTTCCGTGTTGTATCGATCTAAAAGTACACTTCAAATAGAAAATCTCTAGATTTGAAAATAAATTTGAGTACAAAGGAATTCATTTTATGAAACGTTTAAGCTTGATAAAAGGCCTTTTTTTAATTAAAAGTGTTGTTTGGAAGGATGAATTGTGCGTTTAACAACTCGTCTTATCGTTTCATCTATCGTGGAGAGGGTCGAGAAGCGAAGCGTCGCGTCTGGTTGAATGGTTGGATGCGCGTCGCGAAACGAAGCGACTCGCGCCGAGTTATTCAAAATATACGTACGTATTTTTTAATATTTGAGTGTTCTGGGTGATTAAATATTTAAAAATGTATGTTGTGAATGGCTGATGATTAGGAAACATTTCGTTAGCGACGCGCGCCGCTTCGTTCACGGTCGCGACCGACGCGATTACGCACGAAGCGGCACCACAAAATTAGCGATTAGTTCAAAGTTTTCTTTATAAACAAAATTATTAAAGATTTTATATTAATAAACAAACGATTTTAATTTTCTGTATTTTGTTATAAATAGCAAAACAAAGTTACAATATGTGTGCGCGGCGCATCAAGGCCGCGACGCGCGAAGGTAGAAGGTATAACATATATTCAAGTAGAAAGTTTAGGGTGAGGGTATATATTCAAATGATATAATTTTTAAAATAAACATTAAACATTTTTAAAATGTCATTAAAGATTAAATCAACAAGACTAAATGCGGACACAACCTTTAATTTCGCGCGCACCGCATAACAGAGAATATAATCCTTACACGCACTAAATATAAATTCAACTGACAGGTAATTAAGTTAAAAATAATAATAATTTTCCACGATTTAATTTCAATATTTGCATTTAATTATATAAATTCCGTAAACGCAATACAATAGCATATACAAATCATATATAGGCCTATACAAGCAACGCACCAGAAACATAATAATACAATCTTGAAAATTCTGCGTATTATATTATTACTAATAAAGTAATTTAAGAGGAGAGATATTGCAAAAAATTCGTTAAAAGAAAAGTATAATATATGCGGGATGGACGGATAACACGCGACACCATCAGTAATAAACAGGGAGACAATGGAAAGCTAGTTATGACGTAGAGGAAGGGAGACACTCATCAAAAATCACTCAAGTAGTCAAGACGGAGGAAGGAACAAACACAGAGAGGAAGGAAGGGAAAAAAATCAGCTTCTGTTTTCTAAAAACACATTCCGCTTTAAAACAAACAGCTGTTTGGAAGACTGTAATCAACGGTAACACGCGATAAGACAAGAAACACGGGTCAATGGATAACGCAGTCTTGAATTTCCATGCTATTTGATTGAACAGTTCTAAGAGAACAATGGAGAGAAAAGGGGGGATGCCAGCTGGTGTAGTAATCCTGTGGACGTTTGTTTGAAGCAAACGAGTGTCGGCCGGCTAGTTGAGTGGATTGGACTCCTGACGAAAAGAAAAGAAGCCACTTTAACAGGAGGATGGGAAATTAGGGGGTGAGTGATCGTCTCGCTTTGGATGGCGAAATTAAGTGAAGCAGACATCTTTTCACTTTCTCTACTACTTTGGTATGTGCAGACCGAAATTAGATAGAAGGAGACTTCAGTTGCCGTGCCCTACTAATTCTACCCCATTACTTATTATTAAATTTGACAACGTACTACCCAAATTAAAAAGGATTTGATGACGTGTTGACAATCAAAATCGACGTTACTCGCTAGCGCGGCAACGAATTTTACGTGAATAATACGAGAAAAATATTAGCGAATTTGTAAATGTCTCAATGATATTTTTCTTAATATATTCTAAATTAAAATTTTGATAAATTTATTAAAATTTCGCATTTTGGTGTCGAGAAATTGGTGTTTTCGTTGTCAAAATTGAACTTTTATCATCGAAATCGAAATTATAAATTATAATCAATAAATATATATATATCTATATATATTTAAATCAAAATTACAAACTTGATGAATAATATTTATTAAAATTTCGATTTATAGTTTACAAACTCTTGCAAGATATTTCTTGTAATATTCATGCAACGATTTCGTTCTAATATTACGCTACACAAAATTCTTTAACACTGATTGAAATGTTCAATCAGTTCATATAAATAAAGAATATTGTCAAGAACAATTCAAAGAAACTTTTGACATATAATTACACAACGTTTCGACATTTAAAATTAATATATATATATATATTTTTTCAAATACCATCTCGACATTACTCCAAAACTCCATCAGGAAAGTCATTTGCATAAAAAGACATTTTCATTTCTTTGAATTATCAAAATGAAGATCAATATCATGAAATCTAAGAATAATTCTAGCATCATCCTACATCTTTTACCAATCTGAAACCAAAGATTTTAATAAAATACAATTTTTAAATCCTATCTTTTAAGAGAAGGAAGAGGAAGAAGTGGAGGAGGAAGAGGAGGAGGAGAAGAAGAAGAAGAATTATGATGCATTCGTTATCAGAACCAGCAAATTCAAATACGTTCGAACCTCCAATAACTGCCACCTCCCAACAACGACCAGTCAGTGTCCGTTGTTCAGAGGTTTACAATATATTATTCTCTTTGATAAAATACAACAATATAGATTTTTTCAACAAATTA